GAGTGTTCAGGCTATTTGCAGGTCTGCCTTGGGCTTTCTTTCCCCTGGGTCCTTTTGAGTCTCCTATATAGCATGTGTGTAGCCTCAAGATATTCCAGGAGAGCATGAATAGTTTGAGACCTCTTCATTTTCCAGTTAGCCAGGAATATGCTTGCCCCAAGCACATTCACAATCTCAGTCTAGTAGAGTTGCGTTGTTGGCCCTCCCTGGCTGGTTTGCTTCTGAGAAGTCACTTCCACTGAGAATGTCCCTGGATGTAGGTATTATCCACCACTCCAGATTGAGTTAGCTTTCCTCAAACCTAGGCAGAGAAGCTGCTGGTCTCCATGGGCTGCCTTGCCCTGGCCCATGCCCAAACAAGCTGGGAGGGATGAGAGCAAACCTAGGCCAGAATGCCACAGAGTCCCGAAGTTTATCTTCTTGGTTTATTATATATCTTTGGTTGATTTCCAGATCATCAAGGTTGTTTTTATCAGTTTTGTATAACTTTATAGTTGTTTTTTTTTTTCTTAAGTAAACTCTACTCCCAATGTGGAGCTTGAACTCATGACCCCAAGATTAAGAGTTGCATGCTCTACCAACTGAGCCAGCCAGGCGCTCCCTTATAGTTGTTTTTTTTGGGGGGGGGGCGGAGATTATTTTTTATATCCTCACTTGGTCATAGCTGGTGACCTTTCAATCTCTCTCTTTTTTTTTTTTTGGTCCTATTACTTAGATGTGTCTCTTATAAATGGCTTATAGCTGGATTTAAAAAAATCCTGTCTTTATTTATTTATTTATTTTTACAGATTTTATTTATTTATTTGACAGAGAGAGAGAGACAGCGAGAGCAGGAACACAAGCAGGGGGAGTGGGAGAGGGAGAAGCAGACTCCTCACTGAGCAGGGAGCCCGACGTGGGGCTCAATCCCAGGACCCTGGGATCATGATCTGAGCCGAAGGCAGACGCTTAATGACTGAGCCACCCAGGAACCCAAAAACTCCTGTCTTTATTTATTTATTTATTTATTTATTTTTGATTTTTATTTATTTTTCAACAGAGAGAGAGAGATAGCAAGAGAGGGAACACAAACAGGGGGAGTGGGAGAGGGAGAAGCAGGCTTCCTGCTGAGCAGGGAGTCCGATGTGGGACTCGATCCCAGGACCCTGGGACCATGACCTGAGCCGAAGGCAGATGCTTAACGACTGAGCCACCCAGGCGCCCAAAACTCCTGTCTTTAACTAGAGAATTTAGTCTACTTATTTTGCTTAAGTGGCGTTTGGATTAATTTCTTTTTTTTTTAAGTTTTTTTTTTTTTTTAATTTATTTGACAGACAGAGACAGTGAGAGAGGGAATACAAGCGGGGGGAGTGGGAGAGGGAGAGGGAGAAGCAGGCTTCCCACTGAGCAGGGAGCCCGATGTGGGGCTCGATCCCAGGATGCTGAGATCATGACCTGAGCTGAAGGGAGACGCTTAACGACTGAGCCACCCGGGCGCCCCTGGATTAATTTCTAAAATCTTATTTTATACTTTCTACTTATTCCAATGTCTGTTTCTTTATTTTCCTCCTTGACTTCTTTTGGACTGAGAGTTTTTCCTCAATATTTGAGATTTTTCCTGTACTACTTTGGAAGTAGTACACTCTTTAACCATCACTCTAGAAAATTTAGCATGCATATTTATCTTAACAAACCTTAAAATTATTCAATACTGATATGGCCATGAGGGAGTAACAGGGTCCAGAATTTACCTTCCCACCAAGCATAACTTGAAAACTTGGCAAAATATATGAATCAACTGTTTTCAGATGGGGGACAATAGTCCCTGAAGACCCTGAAACAAATTAAGTGAGCTTCACCATCCAGGCTTTCTGACTCAAGTAGAGGAAACATAAAATGTAACCCATAATGATAAAAAAAAAAATCAGCCAATCACAACAGACCCAGGTGAGTTCCGGCTTCTGGTCAGCATGGAAGGAGCTTGGATGTCACCACTGCATGCCATGAACAAGTACAAAGCTGAACACACTGAAAAATGAACAGCTCTTCTCAGATCCATCAGAGAAGTGAGGTCACAGGGCAAACCACTCCTCCAAACACTGGACAGGCAGAGATAAAGAATCACAGCTTCGCAGAGCAGTGCTGGGGTAGGAAAACTTGAACTTTAATTGAGGAATTGCTTGAGGTTCAGTGTGGACACGTCTGAGAGTTCAAAAAAAATCCAGGGGGGGGCCTGATCTTAAGGAGGCCCCCACACTTTTATGAATTTTATCTCCAGGAGCCCTACCAGGTTTGCACAGTGAAGATTCGAGAAAAGTCTCATGCTTCTGGTAGCGGGAGGGGGAATGTAGACATTTTGAAATACACCAGAGCATTCTGTTCTTCCTGAGGCCCGCCCTTAGGACAAACTATTACATCAGATCCTGACCTATTGGAGCTTTGTCAGAGTCTAGCAGAAGGCAAATAGCCAACTACAGCCCCTTCTAGTCATCCTAGCCCACCTTACAGGCCTGTATTGAAAGGACACCCCTGCACAGAGGATTCTGCTGCATTCTTGGGCAATAGTCCCTCTGGACCACTTCACTTAGAACTTTTAAAACATGTATTTTTAAAACTTTGCTATTTTTATTGGGCTGTTCCAATCTAAGTAAAATCTGTGTGCAAGCTAAGCAAATGAAGCTTCCAGACAAATCCCGGAGCTGTGCTCCCAATCAGATCACTGTCCCTTAGTTCCTCCAAGAAGAAAATTCTGGAGCATCAAGTACTCTATGCCTAGATCCTTTCAATTAAAATTTCACCTCGTGGCTATAAATGCTTGAGGGCCAAATTTCCCCTTTTTTCCCACTTCTACTCAGATCCAAGGTCAAAAGAAGCAAGCATCCTCCCCTCTTTTGGTGGGCTATTTTTTTCCTGGGTCACCAGTTGTATTTGTTTTCTGCTGCTGCTGCATGAAATTGCCACAGACTCAGTGGTTTTAGACAGCACGATTTATTCTCTTACAGTTCCAGAGGCCTGAAATCCAACACAGACTTCACCGAACTAAACCCGAGCTGTTGGCAGGGCTGTGTTCCTTCAGGAGACTCAAGGGAAGAATCTGTTGTTGTTTTGCCTTCTGCAGCTTCTAGAGGCCGCCTGCATTCCTTGGCTTGCAGCCCCTTTGTCCATTTTCAAAGCCAGCAATGTAGCCTCTTCCCATCTCTCTCTCTGGCTCGGACCCTTGTTGCCATTGCCACGTCTCCTCCTCTCACTCTCCTGTGTCCCTCTTTCCCTTGTCAAGATGCATATGATGGTGTTCGGGCCCACCTGGATAATCCAGGACAGTCTCCCCATCTCAAGAGCCTTGACTTAATCACATCCGCAGTGTCCTTTTTGCCACTTAAGGTAACGTATTCACAAGGGCCCGGATTTAGGATGTGGCCACCTGTGGGGGGCCAGCATTCTGCTGACCATGCCTACTGAGAACATTGCCCTTCAGGCATACTGGCCTTATGTGGGGGCCCAGGTGTCATCTCCCAGCCCCCATGGGAGGTGTCTGGATAGCTATAGGAAGATGGTGTCCAAGGAGGAGGGGTGGCCTGGGCTCCTGGTTCTTGCCATGTCTCTGTGGTTGGCAATCATGGTTTTCAAGATTTATTTATTTGAGAGCGAGTGTGTGGAGGGGGAGGGGCAGAGGCCAACTCCCCACTGAGCATGGAGCCCGACCCGGGGCTTGATCTCATGACCCCGAGATCATGACCTGAGCCCAAACCAAGACTCGGACACTTAACCAACTGTGCCACCCAGGCGCCCCAGGACTCACGGCCTTAAGGGGAGCACTGCAGCTTCAGCATGCAGAAGGCACTGGAGTTGTCTAGAGCTGAGGCCAGGAAGCCAGGGAGGAGCAAGCCTCAACTGTCACTTCAGGTGGCCTTTGCAGTCCAAGGACCAAATTCCACAGTGTGTCAGCCAGAGGGACATGAGCTTGCCCATGCAAGTCTGCCCCTAACCCTCCCCAGCTCCCATCCTCGTGTGGCTCCCATCACGTCACCCTGAGGCTCAGCTCTGACTCCGCACCGAGTCCTGGGGCTCAGCTGCCAAGCCCTGTGGTCACTGCTGGGTCCCTGCTCTCTCGCTCTCGCCAGGGGTCTGTCCCTAGCGGTGTGTGGCCCAGGGTAGGGGCTCCGCGGGTCAAGAGCTGCGTGGGGGCCAGATGGGAAATAGTGGTGTGAGGGTGGGTGGTGCTCAAGTCCCCAACCGGCCCAGTGTGGGGCTCCGCGCACCCCGCCCCTCTCATGAAGCCTCCCTCCCAGCCTTCCCCCAAGCCCTGCAGGGTGCTCTGGAAGCAGTTCCTTCTGCTTAGTATCTTACAGAAAGTGTTTATTCAGGAACAATTAAAGAAAGCAACTGTGGTGTGGACTCCCAAGCGTGCATGCACGCCGCCCACCGCCCTGTATATGCAGCTTGGCCCCTTCCCCGCCTCCCTGCCCAACCGTGGCTATGTGGGACCCGCAGCAGCAAAATCCAGGCCTTCTTCCCCCTCCCCGCCCCCAGCTCTTGCTCTGAGACCCCCATCTCCCCGGGCAGCACTTTGGCCACCCTCAGTCACAAAGAGCCCCAGTGATCCCGTTAAGACATCTGGGGGAAGAGGGAAAAAAAGCATCTTTTCAAACGTCAAGTGGATAAACAGGGCGCCAGATGTGTGGCCGGGAACCCGCTCGGCAGCTCCGGGCCAGCACCCTCCCCTGTGGCGCTGCCCAGCCAGAAGCCACCCAGCGACGGGCTGTCCACATGGATGCCGGGCAGCCCGTGCGCCTCCAAGCGCACATCCCCGGGGAGGCCCTCAGCCCCAAGAGGCGACTAACTGGTGGCGAACCCCTCCCCAGGAGCAGCCATTTGGGGACAGGGGTGGGACGGGGAGCGGGTCCCCAGAACAGGCACACACCCTTCTGAAGGGAAAAGCTACAGGGAGGCTCGAGGCCCAGGAAAGGGAAGCCACCTGGAACGGTCCCTTGGAATGAGAATCCCCCCCCCCCCCCCCGCCCACTCCCCAAAGGAAAAAGTAACAGTCGCGGAAGAGGCAGGTTCTGGAGCGTGGTTCCGCCCGCAAGCGGCGCGGGTCAGGCTGGTGGCCCTGGGCCCGGCTTATAGGCACATTTAATAGGATTCCCGTGATGTTTCAAGTGGGTAGGACAGGTCTTTCCCCGCAGCCACTCTGGAGGGGCTCCTGGCTCGGGCCTCTTCCCAACAGCCCTCCCCTGAGGTATTGCGCTCTCCCCCGCCCTGCTTCCGGCTGAGCCCCCTCCCACCTCCCCCCAGCACATGGGTGGTCAGGGGCACCCACTGGGGGCTGGAACGGGGGCCCTATGTGGGATCCAGCTCGAAGACACCATCGCTGGTGGGGGTGGTAAAGAAGGAGGGCGGGTCGGAGGCCGAGGACTCCTGCCCCCCACTGCTGCGCTCCCGGGCGCGCCTCTCCTCCAGCCGAAGGCTACGCTCGAAGTCCAGCAGCTGCCCCATGAAGTTGAAGTTGGGTGAGATGTTAGACTTCTTCCGCTTGACCAGGTCGTAGGCATCGTTGAGTGAGAGGTGGCGCTTCTGCATGAGGTAGGCCACGGTGACGGTGACAGAGCGGCTGACACCGGCCAGGCAGTGAACGAGCACCCCGCAGTTCTGGGACAAGGCCTCATCTAGGCGAGGGCAGAGGGGGAGGCAGGGTGATGTGCGGGCCCGGCCCGGCCCTGCTCTCCGAGCCACGCTGCTCTGGCCACATTTGGCCTGGGAGCCCTGTCCTGCCTGAGTCCTAGGGCTTTCGCTGGTGGCCTCTGGGAGCTGGTCCCAGCCCTGCCCAACCCCAGAAGTGGCGGTCCAGGTTTGGGCTCTGGGGATGGTAGCTAAGCCCAGGAGGAGCCTTCCAGAGGGCGTGGCAGAGGCCAGGAGCCAGGCCTGGTGGGGGGTGGGGGGAGGGAGGAAGAGGAGGGCAGAGCCGACTTACCAATGAATGCAATGGCCTCAGGAAAGAACTGGGACAAATTCTGGCTCCAGTGGTCTGAGATGGGGATCTGCTTGTAGTGAAAGTCACCGTTCTTCTCGAAGAGGTTAGGGAGGTTGGGGGTGACGTTGAGGATGTAGCGGATGCCCAGCTTGGCCAAGCTGTCCACGTTGGCTGAATCCCGGGCACTGCCCAGGTAGAGGTTGGGCAGGATCTGGACAGGGAAGGATGGCAGCAGCCCCGTGGGGGGGGGTGTGGCGCCCTCTGAATCCAGGCCACAGCTCATGGAGTCGCGGTCAGGCTCGGATTCGGCATCAGAGCAGTCAGAGCCCAGGCACAGGCCGCCCAGCCCCACCACTGGGCTGGGCACCGGGGCTGTGCTTGGGCCCCCACGGCTGCTGAGGCTGGTCTCACACAGGTGGGGGCACTCTGCCTGGAATCTGCTGAAGCCGCCTGGGAGGGGAGAAGGGGAGAGTCCCCTGTTGATCTGGCCACCTGGGTGGCCAAGCACCCTTGGCAGGGGGATAGGGAACTGACCCCAGACAACTCCAACACCCAAGGGGGCTTGCAGATGTTCCCAAAGGGAACTCAAGAGTCAGCAGCCTGATCCCTACTGGTGTCCCATGGGGTGCACTAGGGGCAGCCCGACCACCCTCACTCGGTGCTGTTGGCTAGTCCTCCAGACAGCGAGTACCCACTGTGCTGCTGGGGGGTGCAAGATTCTGGGCTTAGGCAGAGCCCCCTCAAAGAGGATCTTACAGCCCCAGGGCCCAGCGAAGGCAGGCATGATGTACTGCCAACCTCGGGGAGGACAACCACCGTCAGTTAAAAAGGGGCAAGGTTCAAAAGTGAGTTCTCTGCCTGGGTGGCCACCTCCCATCCAGCTCAACCAGGAGCACCCCAAGAGCTGGGAGCCTGGGAGAGAGCGTAACATTCTACCAGGATCGGTTCAAAGCCCCCAGAAGCGGGCATCTCCTTCATCTACAGATAACAAGTCTTTTCCTGGGCTAGGGGTGGGTCCCGGAGATCCAACACTTGCTTTGTTTCTGCGTCCCTGTGCATTCAGAATGGAGCAAGGGACAACAGTCCAATGACCCCCGCTTTGATGGGGAGGTGGGGAGCTGGCTCCGTCGGTTCATGGGAACCCTGTCCCTACGCTGGACCTCTGGGTGTCTGTTTGGCTCATCAAGGGGCCAAGAGGCCTGTCTCAGCCTATTGCCCTCCACCCGCCAGCCCTGCCATGACTATGATGGGATGGATCTCTGCCTCCTTCTGCCTTCACTGCTTTCCTCTCTCTCTCTCTCACTTTCCCCTTCCCGGTTCCGGAGCCTTTGCCGAGCGGGATTTGGCCTCCTGTGGCCCCTGCCTCCTTTGCCAGTGAGCAGCTGCAGGAGGTGGTGACATCAACGGGGTGGTGATGGGGAGGTGATGGGGGGGGAGGATTGGGAGCCTGCACTTGGTACTCCATTCTTGAGCATCCCCTAAGCCAGGGCAGGTCAGCCCGATTCTCCCCATTTTCCAGACTCAGAAACTGGGGCTCCCAAGGGTGAAGGGCTTGCCCAAGGTCGTGCTCAGGGGAGGGGATCTCACCTCCACTTAAGCCGAAATGAGGCTGGGCTGGCCCAAGGGCAAATGAATTGGGAATCCCCTTGGAAGGTGTGGCCCTGCCTCCCAGGGCCCAGGGCCCTTCCCAGGCCGGTCCCCCCGCGCCGGCGCCCGCACCTACCCTGTAGGTAGTACGCCAGGTAGCCTTCCTCTCGCAGCTTCTGCAGCAGGGTGCCCAGCACCGAGTCGGCCTCCCACTCCTCGGCCTCCGCCTCCCCGCGCCGGGGCCGGCCCCCGCCCTGGTCGTACAGGAGCACCGGGGCGGGCGGGGGCGGCTGCAGCGGCGGCCCGGGCAGCAGCGCGCGAACCGACAGGCTCCCCCGCCGCAGGCGGCGCAGCAGCAGCCCGGGCAGGGCGACGCTCAGCGCCCCGCCAATGCGCGCCGCCTCGTAGAGCTCGCGGCTTCGGCAGTCCAGCAGCAGCAGCCGAGGCCGCGGGGGCGACAGCTCCCTCCGCAGCCACAGGCACGAGCGGCCCAGACCCTCCATGGGCTCGCGGCTCCTGGCACGTCGGACCGCCGGCGCTGCGGAGAGAGGCCGGGCGCGCAGCGTGAGCCCGCGTCCTCCGCGCCCGGCCGCCAAGGGGCCAAGACGTGAAGCCGAGCCCGTATCCTTCAGGCTGACGTCTAGGGGCCCGCGGAGACACCCTCCACCGCCCACAGCGAGGAGGCGCAGAAGGGCGCCTCGGGCCCCCCAAGGAAAGCGCCCCAGGCAGCCACTCGGGCGCCCCGGGAAGGGAAGGGTGAGAGGTCCTCCAGAAGAGGAAGGCCGGGTGTCCAATGGGCCCTCTGAGAGCCGCGGGTCCTTTCCCGGCCCCTTCTGGGCCGGCCCAAGGGTTCGGCCGCCTCCGTCCACACCCCCTTCCAGCGGTGCTCGCTCGGCCTGCCTGCAATCGCTCCCCAAGTTCAAGCTTCCGACTTTGGGGACGTGCGCGTGGGAGAGGCGGACCCGGGGAGTAGAGGTGGCGCGAGGTGAAGGGCCTCCGCCGGGCTTCTCGGAGCTGCCCCGGCCCTGGTGGCCCCCGGGGGTGGGGGGGTGGAGGAGAAAACCGGAGGAGAGAGACCTGGAGCGTGGTCGGGCGGCGGGCGGCCGCGCGTGGACGTCCGAGCCCAGGCCAGCGCGCGACGCGGGGCGCCGATCCCCGGTAAGGGCGTCCCGGGGCCCGGCCTCCCGGGAAGACCGTGGGGTGGCAGAGCAGGCGCGCACGTGGAAGCCGAGTGCCGCGCCGCTCTCAAGCAGGCCGCTTCCCGGCAGCGGGACGCAGCTTCCACCTTGGAAGCCGCTGCCTTTGGACGTGGAGTGGCCGTTTGGAGGGGCGGGGCAGTGGGGGCGGGCTCAGGGGGGCCAGCGAGCCAACGAGTGCCAGCGAAGCAGTCGGGTGGGCCCCCAAGTGGCGCGCTGAGCTGGGGCTTCCACCCAAGCGGGACAGGGGCCGGGGGCAGAGGCCAAGGGCAGGTCAGGGGCCCAGCAGGGGACCAGCCTCGGTTCTTCTGCCCCGAGCCAGTCGGCTGCTGGAGGCAGGGGGAGGGGGAGGGCTAAGAGCCCAGGGCCCCTGTCCCAGAAGCTGCCTCCAGCCCTACTCCCTCGTTGACCCTGGACCGTCATGTCCTCCCCGACTCGACTTCAGTGACCCCATCTATACAATGGGCTCATCATAGCCACCACCTGAGGCTACTGTGGGATGCCACTGAAATCATGGAGGGGAGGCGGAAGCAAGACCAGAAACCCACTGCTGTCTTCTGGCACCGAACTCTGCCCAAGGGCTAGGCGGGCAGATGACAGCTTCCAGGGCCCCCCAGGGTTTCCCTCACACGGGCGTGACCCAAGGCACCCAGGAGCTCTGAGCCTCCAGTCCTAAACTGGGGTGCTCTGCTCTTATCCTGTTACTGTCCCGGGAGTTATCCCTGGCATCTCCATATGCCTCCTCCCTGGTCAAGAGCCAGGTAGTTTCTACTTCAATTGATCTCTTACACCTGTACTCTCCCTTCTGCTCCCTGCGCTAGCTGAGGGCTTGCACTGGCCAACTCTTGACCAGACTGCTGTCCCAGCTTCCAAAGCCCTCGCTCGCTGCCTCCAGGGAGACCTGTCAGCCGCAACCATCCCCCACCCCGCTCTGCCCTGCACCAGACCGTTGTCCATCAAAGGCCAGTGGCCTCCATACCTTGCATGGACACAGGATGACAAACGGGCAGGACACACAGGGTCCCTGCTTGCACGGCACTCCCAGTTTAGCCGGATAGATCAGTAAAAAACAGGGAGACTGAACAAGATAATGCAGGGTGTGATAAGTGTCCCTTCCCTGCTTAAAACCCATCGAAAGCAAACAGCAGAGTTGAAGGAAAATGTACAGCAGATAAGATAAAGCTCATACAAATTAATCAAAAGGTTAAGACTCTGATAAATGGACAAGGAACCAGAAAAGACTGCACGAGGGAAGAAACGCAGCTGGGTACAGGACCCTTCGGGAAAGGTTCAAGCTCAGGTATGGAAGGCAGGCAAATTTAAGAAACAAGGTAACACTCCCCACCTGTTACACTGGTAAAATGTTCTCAAATTGAGTACTCCCAGCGCTGCCAAGGATGCTGCGAAATCCGCCCGCTGCTCTATCTGTATGGCCCCTCTGGAAATTAACTTGGTCATATGCATCCAGAGCTAGGAAGAAATCTCCACCGTCTGGCCACTTCTGGGAATCTATCCCAAGGAACTAAGTAAAAGAAGGCACACAAGATGGGCACCACAAGATGTGTAACTAAGGCATGAAGGATGCAAAACCACCAGAAAGCCAATGTTTAGGATAATCAAGTTCAGTGCCACTGATGAAGACTCCTCTCCTAAGCCGCAGTGTAAACGGAGAAAACCGGGGAAGTAATACTAGGGAGAGGACAGGTTACAGAGAACCAGGCCCTCGAAGGGGTCCTCAGTGTCCCCCTCCTTCCCTCCCTCCCTGGCCCCGGGAGGCTGTCAGCCTGGGACTCCTCTCTGGCTATAACCCACCATGGCCTGGCCTCTGGGATGAGTCCTACTGGCTTCATCCAGGGGCCTCAGGGAGCTGTGCTGTGTCCTCCTGCCCCCAGCCCAGGCCTGTTCAGATTCTGCTCCTTTTTCAGGGACCCCCCCCCCAGGTGCCCTCCTCTGGGCAGCCTTCCTGTAGTCTCCTTCCTCTGTGCTCCAGGCCTCAGTTCCCTGAAGCTGCAATGCCTAAGAACTGCAGTTTGGGGCTCCTGAGGTGCCCAGCCATGCTTTCTGGAGAGCGGTCCCTGGAGGAGGCCAGGGGAGTCTGTCTGGGAAGATGAGGGGGGCCGGGGGGGGGGCGGGCGGCAACTTCAGCACCGGTGAAGGGAGAGGAAGCTTGGCTCCAAGAAACTCCCCCCGGAGTGGGGTTGTGCCGGAGCCTGCGGCTCCCAACGCCTGAAGAGTGGCTCCCCTGGGGCACCTGGGTGGCTCAGTTGGTTAAGCGACTGCCTTCTGCTCAGGTCGTGATCCTGGAGTCCCGGGATCGAGTCCCGCATCCGGCTCCCTGCTCGGCGGGGAGTCTGCTTCTCCCTCTGACCTTCTCCCCTCTCATGCTGTTTCTCTCTCTCTCTCGCTCTCTAATACATACATAAATAAAATCTTAAAAAAAAAAAAAAAAGAGCGGCTCCCCTGCATCTTGCTCCCGCCGCTGGCAAGCCCACCAACCGGGAGAAAACGGTCGGCGGTGGTGGCGGGGGGCGCGGTATTCAACCTCGCAAGTGAGTACTCGGTGCCCGCGCCAGCAGCGCCCGCTGCGCCAGCAGCAGGACAAACTGGAACCTGTTGCCACCTCCGCACTGCAGGGTTGAGCGCAGCCAAGCCCCCCACCGCCGACCCTAGCCGGGCCCCCGTAGCGCCAGTCTGGGCGCCGGGCCCGCCCCGCGCCCGCTCCCGGGGCGGGCTGGGCCCGGGGAGGCAGCGCTGCGCGCCCAGGCCTCGCGGAGGCCCACTCGGCGGGGGGAGCCAGGCCGCGCGCTCGCCGCCGGGTGGGCGCGGAGCCTGCCGCTCCAGCCCCCGCCGGGCGCCCCCCGGCCTCCGCCCGGCCCGGCCAGCGCCCCCGGGAGGCCGCCGGGACGCCGCAGCCCGCAGACCCCGCGCGCGCCGCGGGCGCCCTCTGGTCCCCCGAGCCTCCGGAGAGCGGCCCCCGCGTCACCCTCCACCCCTCAGCCCGAAATGCACGGTTCCCGCCGGGCCGAGTGGCAGGATTTCGGCTGTGGCGGCTCAGTCACATGGCCAGGAGCACAACTCCCAGCGACAGCGTCCCTGCCAAATCCAGTGTCTTTTCCACCAAATCCACTTTCCGCTGGGGATGGCTTTCTGCTTTTGCTGGTCGGTCTCCTCGCTGGACTGGGAGTTCCTCCAAGGCAGGAGCGGGTGTGCGCCCGGCCCCAAGCTGGCCCCAGCCCCCAGTGCAGGGCCTGGCTTACAACCCGGCCGGGCGCTCGCAGAAGAAATGCTTGTTAACAGAGAAGTCATGAATGAATGAAACCAATTGTTGCATGAGGGAGCCCAGGACGGTGCTGATCCTTTTTCTCCCAGAGGGTCACACACTTTCCCCCACCCCACAGACACGCACAGCACACATGCACACAAGGCTCTCCCCTCAGCGCACATGCAGATGGCACACAGACCGCAGCAGACTCCTGTCCTCGTGGAACCGACCTACTACGTGCGTGCCTGGCAACTGGCGTTCCTTTGGTCCCAGCTGGGCCGCCTCTCCCTTGCTCCCCTCCCCCACCCCACCCGCGCCGACACCTAAGTACGGTACCTTGCACCCCAAGTGCCTTCTTTATGTCTTAGGGAAGAGGCCAAGCCAGTCGCTGGGGAGACTCAAGGTCTGTTTGGCGAGGCACCTAGGGGGCCTCAGGACGGTGGGGGAGCTGCTGCCGCCAAAGGCGAGCCAGAGGCACCTGGCAGGAATGGCACCCAATGCTGCAGCCTCCGGAGCCCGTGTGCCAGGTGTCAGGGGGTGGTGGTGGGAGGCACTCAGGGATGTGTGTGCTGGGGGGTGCTGGGGGCTATTTGCGATGGGGTTGCGGCAGGGTGCTGGAGAGTGTAAATCCAGCAGGTGTGCATACGTGTTGGGGTGTATGGGTGCGCACGCTGGGGATGCAAGAGGTGTGTGCCTGGGGAATGGGCCTGGCTGTGGGGCGTGGGGAGTGTCAGCTGCTGGAGCAGGAGTTAGTTTTGGGGCTTCACTCAGGGGTAGGTGGATTGCAGTGTCTCCGGGCTGGGAACGTGGGTGGAGTGTCTGTAATGAGCATATGGGGAGTCGGAGATGGTGGTGGCACGGCGAGGGGAGCTATGTTAGTGCAGATATAGCAGGGATGTATCGTGTGTGTGTGTGTGTGTGCGTGCGCGCGCGCGCGCGCGCGCGCCTGGGTGTGTACTGAGGCATGGCATGGGCTGGGCTGGGTGCTAGCCTGAGTTGGGGCAGTGGTGGGAGGTGGGTTAGGGGCTGCTGCTCTGTAGACTGCAGGGACCAGGTCTGCGGCGTGCGGTTCGTGCGCGCGCGTGCAAGTGGCAGGGATGTGCGTGGCAGAGGACAGGGAGGTGCACGGGCGGGATGCGGGGGGTGTGAGGTGGCAGGATCGAGTGGGTCTCGCAGGGGCGCGTGCGTCGGCCCCGTGGGGTGCGCGCTGGCAAGACTCTGGGGTGCAGGGTGGAGGAGCTCACGTCGGAGGGGGCGGCCAGGCCGGGTGGGGGTGGGGTGGGTGGGTGCCGGGGAGCCGCGTGCTCCGCTCACCTCCGCTCACCTCCGCTCACCCCCCCGATCCGCTCGGCTTCCTGCGCGGGCTCCGCGCGTCGCGGCCGGGAAGTTTCCGAAGCCCAGGCGGCGGGAAGCGCCACCGCCGCTGCCGCCGAGCGCCACCGGAGCCTCAGGCGGCGGCCTCGCCTGAAGCCGAGGGGCCGCCGCCGCCGCCGCCGCCGCCGCTGCGGAGGGAAACTCCAAATCCCGCCTCCGCCGCCGCCTCCTCCCCTCCCGTCGCCGTCTTCTCCGCCCCCTGCCCAGGAGGGGCAGTGTCGCCGGCGGCGCGCGGGGAGGGAGCGGGGAGGGAGCGCGGCCTGCCCGGCGTCTCCCTCCACCTTCCCCGCCCCCGACCGCCTTCCCCCCACCTGCAAGACTGTCCGCTCCGCCCGCCGGCGACCCTCTG